GCAGCAGTCTTCTTTTCTAAAAACCACAAATATTCCAAAGGTGCTAAACATATGGAATTAAAGTATTTTGCCGTTAAAGAAGAGGTTCAGAAACTTAGAGTGTCTATAGAGCATATTAACACCGATCTTATGATAGCTGATCCCTTGACGAAGGGACTACCGCCCAAGACATTTACTGGTCATGTATGTAGAATGAGCATTATGTCAGCTAATGAATGATAAAAATCATAGTTATGTATTAAGTGTTGACACTATGAGCTCATTGCTGAATATATGTTTCTGTTATTGTCTTATTTTCAATTTATATATGCATGCAAGTATATGTGATGATATTGAAAATAATTATGGTCCGTTAATGAAGACATTATTGTTGGACATAATGTGTACTTCCTATTAAAGTATCATGTTAGGAAGAAGAGTCAATATAGTGGTACATGGAAGGGACTATGCCGACTTGATAGCATACAACCGCCATGACTCATGTTGATTTTATTTCTAATAATGAATTATGATAAGGTCAATGTATAGAACCTTTAGCCTAGTAAATGCGCATTATAATGAATGTTAATTAAATCATGAAGGGACACCTTATGACATGAACCAAGTGGGAGAATGTAAAACTATTTGTGTCTCATGTGTGTCAATTGGTTTAATTAATAATAAAAGAGGCTTTATGGTAATTGACGTTTCGCATTAATGATAATTGGCGTTTTAACGTTTTGCATTATGGTAACGTTTTGCATTAACGGTAATTGACGTTTTAACGTTTTGCATTATGGTAACGTTTCGCATTAATGGTAATTGACATTTTAACGTTTCGCATTAAGGGAAGTTAATTAGAAATAACTGTGATAGGCCAGTTATATAATAGTTTATATGGTCAGTTTTCATATAAGGGTATCTGATCGAAAACAAACGTCCTTCTGAGTCTGCCTAGAAAAGTTGTATCCTATCTCTATCAAAGAAGATACAAGAACGGTGAAAGGGTCAAGGCTTAGAGAAAGCATTCTACTATTAAAGATCTTCCGCGATTATGGAAAAATGTATGTTTATGTGAAACTCATGAATTCTAAAGATCCTATGTCATGTTCTTGATTGATTACTGTTGAACATGAATCATGAATTACTGATTTACTGATTAAATTGCTAACAGATCTAGCTTGTGGTGGTGTTGTTAGAGATGATGCTGGGGTTTGGTTGCAGGGTTTTACCAGGAGACTTAACCATGGAACGACTTTAATGGCTGAATTATGGGGATTCTTTATTGGGTTGGAATGGATATGGCATAACAATGTTCATAATGCTATTCTGGAAGGAGATTCGCTGGTTGCTATTCATTTGATTAAGGAAGGGTGTGTGAGATCTCATCCTTGTTTTTTCCTTGTTGATAGAATTAATACACTGATGGATACTTACTGGCATGTGAATATCATACATACTTATAGAGAAGGTAATCAAATTGCTGATTGGATGGCGAAGCTCAGAATTGATGATTGTTGGGGAACTCATTGGTTCAATGCTCCTCCGATTGGATGTAGGGAACTTGTGTTAGAGGATTGTAAGGGCCTTGATTTGGCCTCTTTAAACTCTTTGTAGTTCTGTTTTTGCTTTCCTTTGTATTCCAAAATAAAAATAAAAATTTAGGATCCAATTCTAATTTACATTGAATTCGGATAAATCATGCAATGTGAAACCCATAAACCGATTTGAAACCGGGTTCAATCAGGCACTTTTTTTTTTTTTATTAAACTGATTCGATTTAATTTTGTGTAAAATGCTTAAAAAGTATTACCGAGGGGTCTTAGGCCAAATATAAGGGATGTAGCTAATAACACTTACCACTAAAACTTTACTTGTTGGATATGATGCTTATAATTTTATATTTTTTATATATTGCAAATATTTAATTTAAGCAATTAAATTAATAAATAGCTGGTTGAACCGGTAACCTAAATTATGACCCAGTGGACGACCGATCTTAGTTTAATAATGCTTGATAATTCTTAGAAGATTATTTTTTCAAAAAAACATAAGTTATTTTGTGTTTATATATAATATTTTAAAAATAAAAGGTCACTCACAAATTTTCTCCATGTTTTGATAGCACCTCACATATGTTGTATATATAGGGTTATTCTATCTTATTCAACACAAACTATCTTCCTCGAGACAAGATCTCAAAAGTCACCTCAATTGCAGTTGGCCTCGTCTTCATCTTAAAAATAAGATTGAGAGTATAACTTAATTAGGGAAAAGCCATGTGATGTGTTTAATTTGTTAAAGTCATCTACATTGTTGGAGCCAGATGCCAGTGTTCATTTTTCCTAGAAGTGACAAAGTGGGTATTTATGCTGGTTGAAAAATCAAATTTCCTTTAAAATTAGTAGAGCAATCGAGAAAATCAACACGCCCCACCCCATTCTCACTAGTCTACGAAGGAGTAAATGGCTAAGGTAAAGGGATTAGGTGGAAATGAAGACATGGATGAGAAAAATAAATAGGTGGAGGCAGTGGCAGAGCCACTTGAAAGGTAGGTCTAATTTTTTTAAAAAGTATAGATTTTCTTAAAAAAGATTTGGTACAGCCTTTATATTAGTTGGATGTTTAAAAACAATATAACTTTGGCACCATCTAATTCTACTGGCTGAATCTTTTGGCACTATCTAGCTTTTTTCTCTGGCTCCGCCACTGGATGGAGGAGTCACTAATGGTGAGAATTGAAAGCTGAAAGAGAAGGAAATACACATGGTTTTGATATATGTTAGGACCCCGTTGTAAGGTATGAGATTTAGAATCACATATAAAAAACATAAGGTTATGGTATGGTACGAGATTTATATAAATTTTGGATTATCTTATCTACGGGTGGACATACGTTTGTGCAAATGTGTGGGCAAAAAAATTAATATTACTATTTTAATAAATAATTACGAATACATAGCTGTTTCGAAACTATCTACAGATTTATTACACTTATTCACGCCCAAATTAGGCGTGACTATTCATGCCCAAATTAGGCGTGACACCCAAGGCATTCACGCCTAATTATGTGGAATCAAAAAAAGAATTACCTTATTCGGATACCCGAGTCAAAAGTTATTGTCTTATAAAGTTTTACGATTAAACTATTAATTTTTTGTGCCACGTGTCAAAACCAGACGAGTCACGCCTAATTTAGGCACGCTTAACTTAGGCGTGAATAGTCACGCCTAATTTGGGCGTGAATGAGTACAATAGATTCATATATAGGTTCGAAACAACAACTTATTCGTAATTATTTATTAAAATAGTAATATTTTAATTTTTTTTTCCAAATGTGTGTAAATGCAGATATAATTTTTTTTTGGAAAAAAAGAGAGTAAAGTATCTTTTGGGTCCTCAACAAAAATTATGGGACTCAATTTAATCCCTTAAAAAATTGACTCATGGTCCCTCTGAGATTCAAAGAAGACTTACATTAGTGCCTCAAAAGGACTAATGTGGGTATATTTTGGAATTCACAAGGACCACAAGTCGACTTTTTTTTTCTAAGAATTGAATTGGGCCCTGTGATTTTTATTGAAGACCCAAAAGATACTTTACTGTGCAATTATTTGTAAGTGCAGACAAAATTTTTGAAAAAAGAAAAAGTAAAGTACCTTTTGGGTACTCAATAAAAATTTCAGGGCCCAATTTAATACCTTAGAAAAAAAGTCGACTTGTGGCCCCTCTGAATCCCAAAACAGTTATTAAAATCGGCTCAATTATTGATCTGGCCGACGTACTGAGTCATTGGTTCAACCGCATGACCTGGTAATTATATGCAATTCTATAATTCATATTAAAAATTATAAACATACTCAAATATTTAAAAAAAATGATAAAAATTTCAAATATTTTAATATAAAAAATAATAAATCACATATTATTATCCAATAAAGGATCAAACAAAAATATAATGATCGTGATATAAGGCTTCAGGTTCAGTAAACGGCATATCTAATTATAAATCAAATCCAAATTTTCTGCATAGTGCATAATTGAGATAATATTAGTATTGTAGGTACATAACTTAAGTAAGTCAATAAGAAAAAAATATTTAAATATGTCCATTATGATCTTTTTTTGAAAAAAAAAACTGGCATTTTTTTTTTGGGACTGGGCAGGGTCATCAGTTAACCGATCGGGTCACCGATTTTCATGAAAATTGACTTGGTCGTCCCGGGTCGCACCAGTTCTGACTTCTGATGCATGGCTAGTCCGTTGCTTCAATCGGACCAATTATATGACCGGTTTCCCTGTCGACCCAGCCGGGTCGGTCCGATTTTATTAACATTGTTACAAAATAAACACAGTTAGTTGAAATCGTCGTCCCTCTAAAATTCAAAGAAGACTCAAATTAATCGTTCAAAAGGACTAATATGAGTTTATTTTGAAATTCAGAGGGATCACAAGTCGATTTTTTTTCTTTAAAAGAATTAAATTGGGCCCCATAATTTTTATTCAGACCCAAAATGTACTTTACTCAATTTTTGTTGTTGAAGTTTTCTTTTCTTTTCTTGTTTATATTCTTTGGTTTTTTAATACATTTAAAACTTTCATTGAAAAAATTGGTGTTAACTTTTTTGCATATAAAAAAGATGAAGTGACTAAGGAGAGAAAAAAAAATCTTTCATATTATAATTATGAGAAAAGTATTTCTTCAGTTACTGGAGATAAAATTATCTCCAGTCAGCTCAAAATGACGTTATTTTGAATTATAAGATTGAAAAATTATAATGATAAAGATTAATATAACCCTGCAATATTTTAGAATTACAAAAACACTTTGATCTTAGTCCCAAAACGACGTCATTTTGGGCTCATCGAAGATAATTTATATCCATTGACGACAGAAATTTTAAAAGGAGAAACTTATTTCCAATATATTATTTATTTGTCTCTTACCTAAATCTTGGTCTTCCATCAAGCATAAATGTTGAAAGTCATTTGGAGTCATGATTCTTTTACACTTTGTCACATATTTTTTCCTCTTTTATTCACTTGATAACAACTACAACTGAACTACACTTATTTTTTCGTAATAGCTCACGATTGTCTTCCCATCATTCATCACTCTACTAGTTCTAGTGCATAATTGCTGCACATCCAAGTTTATATACATCTTGCCAATGGGATGATATCAACTTCATACTCATAGGTTACAGGTCAAAGGTTCCATTAACGAACCTTTAATTTAATTTGAGAAGTCTCACATTTACATGTGCTCTCTGCCTCTCACCACGTCAACGGCTACTTCGAGTAGTTAACATTCATTCCCTTCGTCTTCACATTCCCCATTAACCTGTTTAGAGATCTTTTAAGTATAGGGGAAGAAAAAATAGCATTGTAGAAGCTTCGTTTTTTTTTTTTTTATAAATGTAACGCGAAATTAGTCAAGACACGTGGACATACCGTTTTGGTCACGTGCAGCAGAAATTCCAGAATTTCTGAGAAATTGGGTCTGAAAGATGGATCTTGGTGCCAGCACCTGTGAAGCAATTCTACTAACTTTGGATGAGTATGCTTTGGAATCTTTGGCCTTAAACCCTGCAATTCATATCCCCAAATCTTATTCAATTTCACAATATTTTTTGTGGCTCGGTAGCTTAGTTATTATAGAGCTTTCAAGTTAGTAATATTTCTTATCTTGCAAATCTTCTTCCAATGAATTCTCTTTAATGATAACCAACATACTTCATTCAAAACAATAGCTTCATTCCACTGACACTGGCAATTTTGTAGCGACAGACAATTACTAATAATAAACGATAATGTCTTATTTCTACTCAAGGCATGCAACGCAAGTTTACATGTTTAACTCCACAAATCCACGCACACGAAGAAGTGAAAAGTGCATATGTAATTTTCTAGTGAAGGAATACCTTCTGAACCACTCCAACAGCTGCTTGCAATGGGGACAAACGCTCATAAGGAAGCTGGCATTCAGTCATAAAACAGAGATGAAAGGTGTGAATTCTGTTCAACCATAATAATAGTAAACGAATGAAAACAGCCCAAAAAACAAGTCTCTAAAATATACCTACTTCCTCTTTTTTATTGTCCATTTCTTTTAAATACTTTGTTACTCACTTTTAAACCACTGAATCTATCATTCTTACTTTCCCCTTTGCCAAAGTTTGTAATTTACCCATTAAACCTATCCGACTTAATGTAGTCAAAATGGCTAGAAGCTTCTGCTTAATACTTGCTTCAGTTTCAGGAAATAGTCCAGCTAGTAGCATTAAACCTATATATTTGTGTTAGTCTCCGCATTAAAAGACATAAAAGTCGTGCATGTCAATTACTAAGCTCTATTAGTTCAATTCGAATTGAAAATAATATAGCGCATCCGATACAAAAATATAATAAAATTAAAACGTTAATACAATTTACAAAGTAGAGAGAGTAAATCAGTTTTCAATTGGACTTGAGAAGGGGAGGGTTATACTCTGGGCTCTTTGGATGTCAAGCAAGAGAAAGACAAATAGGCCAAAAAAATGCAGGAAGCATTACCTTTCCCGTAAGCAGCTCCCAAAGAACAATGGCAAAGCTAAAGACATCGGCTTTGTAATCATATGGTTTATGTTCAATAACCTTCAAGGGAATCAGAGGTTAATTATGATCAATACAGTGAATGGTAGAAGTGAAAGCAAGAGATATCAAGTATTTTAGGTGTCTTAAGTAACCTAGTAAAGCGCCCATAGGTAAAAAACCAGAGTTAGTTTTGGACTTGGCCAACAGAAGATTATTCAAGTTCCAGCTATTTACTGTTTACACAAAAGAATCTGTCATTCTCATTCCAACTTGTCTAGGTTCGTCTTTCAACATCACAAACTGCTGCCTATTGTATCCTTAAACTACCGTATCCATGCCTGTAAGTTGTGCAATTCATAAATTTAAAGAGAAGTAATTAACCCTATGACAATACTTATGAATATACACAGACCTCAGGAGCCATCCACCGATAAGTTCCAGTTTCTGCAGTCATGATACCAGACTGATCGTGCACTCTCGACACACCAAAATCGGCAATCTTAACTACCTGTTGGAAAAGTTTTTTAAAATACAGGCACAATGACATAAGTTCACACAAGCCATAAAATCAAGTTCACCTAAGCTAATTTGTGAAGCAATATTAAGTAAAACACAAATATATATTCTGTTTCCTTCTCCTGCCAAGGTTGATTCAATTAAATTTTTCTAGACTTCTAATTGGAATCATCAATCAACTTTAGTTTCCATCTGCGAAGACATGCATTTATTTAACCAACCAGAAATTGCAGAGCGGTTGACAATGTTGTAGTATATAGGCTGTTAGCATTAACAAAAAAGCTATAGCCAGTAAAATCAAAACTAAATATGCAATGTAAACTTACCCCATTCTCATCTATCAAAAGATTAGCAGCTTTGAGGTCTCGATGTATGATATCATTCTCATGCAAATATTTCATTCCTTCGGAAACATCAATGGCTATATTGAGCAAAGATGGAAGAGCAAGGACGGTCTTCTGCATACGCAGAAAGTGGTACATACTTCCACCAGACAAATATTCTGAGAAGAAACGAATTATGCATTGACCTTGCAATTAATAAGCAAAATGTCACTAGAGAGGATAAATTCTACCTGTGACAAGGTAAAAGTTTGGGGGATTCGTACAAGCGCCAACAAATTTGACAACATTCTTGTGCTGAATTTTACTGCAAGACTTAAATTTAAAAAAAAAAGCCATGAATGGGATACAGATAAGAAATTTTATTTCAATTGAAAGGCTAGCCCAAGGAGATCGTGACCTATATTACATATTGAGAAAAAGATTCTTATCCCACCCTCTAGAGCTTTAGCCAGGAAGCATTTAAATAATCGATTTGATATGGACCATAAACATTTGAACGTACAATTTAGGATAAGAACCTGTACGATCTTTCATTTTTTTTTTTATTTAATCTGATTTGAATGATTGGACAAGTTTTCATGCCCTGATGACAATTATCTTTACTGAAATTCAAAGAAAAGGCCCGGTGGGGAATGGAGGTTGTGATAGAACAAACCTTAGGATATAGACTTCCTGAGCAAACTCCTTCTGTATATTTTCATTCAAATTCTCACCCTTAAGGACTTTGATAGCTACATCTTGATTACAAAACGTACCTTTATACCTGTGTCAACTAATCATTAACTCAACATTTACTGATCCACAAACATATCAAGGAGATAGACTGATGATAATACTCACAAATCACTGAAAGATCCAGATGCAATTTTCTTTTCATATCTCAAACACCTTGCATCAATTTTCCAGACATCATTTCCACAAGTGGGCAAATTTACATGTCCAGATATGAAGTTCATCATGGTTTGCTCTTGCTCTGCAGTAGGGAGACTGCCATTTTCTTTCAACTGAGGCTGATTCTGGATTTCCACCCAAAATATAAGTAAAGTGGGAGATGTGAGATGCAAGAAACACTTTAATTTGCTGACTTCCAATTATAACAGAAAGCTAATGTTAATCTAGACCATTTAAAACTTTTAGTTCCGGTTTATGTATAGCTCTCCACCAGTTAACTTTCATTCAAACTAAAGTGAGAACTGTTGAACTTTTAATAAGCGAACATGTTAAAGATGATCAACTTCTAACTAGGGCAATTGAACTATTACCATAAAAATGGGCCAAAAATATATATATATACTGCCATAATATTTTTATGATAAATATAAGAATCATGTTGTTACATAACGTCCTTACAACAAAAAAATAACTATGTATTACGAGTAATATATTGTTATAACGGATATGAATTTCTTTTTAATATTATAACTATGTATTATTCGTAATATAATTCTTTCTTTTTTCAGAAAATTATGCGACAGGACATCCGAAGGATTCTATTTTTATGTCATTTTTACGTTTTTTAATTAAAAAATAAAATTAAAAAATGCATTAAAGTATTATTTTAATTTTATAATATAAATGACGTGCAAATTTTATTTAGAGGTAAAACTAGATCTTAAAACATACCCGGTAAACTAAACGAGTAACTCGTCAAGTAAAGGTCCTACCTCGAGTTTCTGAATTTTCTTTGCCAGTACATATTTTAACTTCTCTGTCTCCTATGAATTTCAAACATGGACATTTGTCAAGTAAACTTGTTACGAAGAGATGACAGACAAAAATAAAGTTGAGTAGTACATTCTCCTTTCTTTTGTTAAAAAAAAAAAAAAAAAAAGTGCAATAGTATATCCTATTGAAGTCTGAGAGAGAGTAAATTGTCAAATTTAAAAAGGATTATATATGCAATTTGGGTCGAAACTTTTTTTTTCTTTAGTTCCATGAGAAAAGCTAATTTCCTTCCCCATCAGTCTCAATTAACTACTGTATTGCAATTAAGAAAAAAAGGGGAAAAATACCTCAACTGCCCAACCACCAACAACAAAGACATCCAATGAATAGCCATCCATTGTCGAAAAAGCATGTGCTTCCTGAATGTCCAGCCCAGTCTCAGACAGTAAGGAAGTCAACTGCAGTTGCAACACAAAAAGCTTAAACTATAAAAGAGCGTTTGGTTGAAAGAGAAATTTTTTGAATACTAAAAAAATATAATTGATAGAGAAATAATTGGAAAGTGAGATAAGTAGGAAAATGTAAAAAAAAGTTGTTTGGTGGAGAGAAACTTTACTAGGGAAATTATGTAACTTTTATGAAATCTATGTTTGGTTTGAGGTAAAATATAGATGAAAAAACAAATTGGTATTACGAAAATAACCCTGATTTGAAAAATTAATTTGACGCTGGCATGCTACAAACAGGCTGACAACAATGAACTTGGTGTGAATGGTGTCTGTTGCAGGTTCGACATCTTGACACATTTGACAACAGTGAACTTCACAAGTTACAACTGCTGATATATAAACAAGGTCTGGGCATTTTTTTTGCTCAAAAGCTAGTTGGATTTAGAAACTATTGCGCTAAAAGAGAGGGCATCAAGGTCTTTTGCTTAAAAGCCGATGTCAGGAGATTGGTTGATTTTCAACAATACCACATCATGGAAGGAAAGTATATCGATGAAAAAGGATAGACAAGTTGGTTTGGTAGGATACTTATGTAGGAAAGTATGGAAGTCAATATAACCAAACATGGTATATGGAGATTTCAATTACTAACTTACCCATCTATCCCAAGATTTCCCCCCAACCAAACACTCCCTAAAAACCTTGATTTCTACACTAATTTAATAAAGAAAAAGAAATTCATGCATTTTTTGGAGAGCATTTTTTTGCTCGGGAACCACTATTAATTGGGTGGTCGTATGTGAAAATGGGAAGGGTAAAAAGGAAAAGAGGAAAAATAGCATAGACAAAAAGAGGAAGAAAAATTGATCTTGTGAGAAGGAATACAGAGTTTTGGGTGCTCTCTTAAAAAATATTTTCCATTTTCTGAATGGCTGAAAACTAAGGCTACATATTTTTTACTCCCTTGTTTGTAAAAATAAAATAAAATACAATAAGTACAATATGTGCACCGTAATATTTATTGTTGAAATTGCTTTAGTAGCCTCAAGTCAGAAACTTCTAATACTAGCATCTAATGATACATAAAGACGACCGGAAATCCAGAAGTCAGCCCTCACCAGTTATTCAACAATATCACTAGTTGTATAAAAGTCTATGATCAATGAAATCAAAAGAGATTCTGGGAGCAGTAAGCCAGTAATTGTTAAGGCTAAGAGAGCTACCAACTAACAATAGCATATCAGATAATTATTTTAAGCATTATGCATTGAGATACAAATATATAGTAAAGGTTTAATCTTTGTTTGCATTTTACTAAATATATTCTATATAAGTCCCAACTAATTTGAGATAAAAGTGTTGTTGATGTTGATTTTATAAGTGTAATTAGGTTTTAACTTGTAACAAGCCTCCAAGGCCTCGTGACTGTTAGGATTGTTAATGCGAAAAATATAATATATAAGAAATACAGTACAAAAATTTCTAAAACATCAGAAAAACAGAAAGCAGGGCAAAAAAAATTAAAATATTAGTGTTTTAATAAATAATTATCGGAATTATTTACGAATCTATTGCACTTATTCACACTCAAATTAGGCGTGACCATTCACGCCTAAGTTAGGCGTGACTCCCAAGGCATTCACGCCTAATTTAGACGTGACTCGTCTGATGTTGACACGTGGCACAAAAAATTCAACTTACGAATCGTAAAATTTTGGAGAGCTATAACTTTTGACTTGGGTATCCGAATCAGTTAATTTTTTTTTATTCCACATAACTTTTCGAGATCTACGCAATGACATCTCATTTGATATATTTTATCTCTCACAAACACAATTCAAATTTACAATAATGGCATTATAAGAACGTTTAAACCCAGATGCCTCAGAGTTCTGAGTTTGTGATTTAATATAAAATAATAAATAAAGATTTGATCTGTGATTTAAATTAAAAAATAAAATTTTTAATTTTAATATAAAAAATAAATAAAGATTTGTTTTGTGATTCAAATTAAAAAAAATTTAAAAAATTATTATTAACAAGAAAAACAAAATAAAGATTTGATTTGTGATTTAAACTCAAAAATCAATTTGAAAAATCTGTATTAATAAAGAAAATAATTAAATAAATATTTAAATATCTAAAAAAGAAGGATTTTATTTTTAAAAACCATTCATAGGCTATAAGCTTCCAACGAATCCAGCCATAAAAACTCAGTAATTATTTTATGTTAGAGAAGTTTCCAAACTTTAGAGTTCAGGATTCGATTTCAGGTTTAGTTTTCTTTTCTTATATCCATTAGTCCCTTTTTAATTTTTCTTTTAAATGTATTTTTATTTTTCTTTTAAATGTGTTTTTATTTTTCTTTCTCTTAGGCATACATAATTTAAATAGCTTTAAAGAAAAAGTCATAAAACAAAAGAATGTAACTTACGATACAGTTCGATAAGAGTCATAAAAAGTTATATATTTTTAAATTATTTTTTATTATATTTTTGCATCTTACGATTCGATATGATTCACTATATGAAAAATTGGTCAAATGATACACGATACGTATTGCGATTCAATAACTTCGTACACTATTTTTGTTCAAACACTTGGTATAAGTATATATTTAATATGACATTAAATATCCTTATTTATAAATAAGCTAATCCACTTTGGTGTCATCTTTATAGTATCATTATTTCAAATTTGAACAGTGTTTGTGAGAAATAAAATATATTATGTACCAAAAATATATATATATATATATCAAATGAGATGTCATTGCGTAGATCTTGACAAATTATATGGAATCAAAAAAAGAATTACCTGATTCGGATACACAAGTCAAAAGTTATAGCTTTATGAAGTTTTACGATTAAACTGTTAACTTTTTATGCTATGTATCAACACCATACGAGTCACGCCTAATTTAGGTGTCAATGCCTTGGGAGTCACGCCTAATTTAGACGTGAATGGTCACGCTCAATTTGGACGTGAATAAGTGTAATATATTCATAAATAAATTCAAAACAATAACTTATTCGTAATTATTTATTAAAAAAATAATATTTTTTTTTTTTTAAAAAGCGGGCACAGGTTTTCCACATTAGCTATAAATATTTGCACCACAACAATAAAATCAGCTACCTGACTCAGAAGTTTTGGCTTGTCATTTGTTGAAATTGTGATTTCATGCATTGGCCTGCCGTAAGTCGTAGGATGAAATGTGATAAACAGAAACAAAAGTTTCAAGCACTAAAAAAATGCCTTCTTGAGGCAAGAAGAAATAGAGATATATAAAAAAAAACAAATATCACTATGCTTATTGACATAATGAGAAAATGCGCAAAAGGGTGAAAATATTATAAATAAGGGGAAGAATTCGTTTATAAATTTTTACAAATTAGACTATGTACTTCGGGAGTATATAGTTTTCGAGAATACTTAGTGTAATTTGTAAATAAAAAATTTGTAAATATTATCCTCTCTGTAAATAATGGAAAAGTCCAAATACTAAAAAAAAGAAGGTAAATTTAAACAAATGAATAGTAGATTAAGAGCAAAATGCAGTAAGGTAAGATAAAAGATTATAAGTTTTACCGGGCATAATGTGCATAAAAATTCAAATAGTTATTCCTATCTTGAAATTTTAACTGGCTCCCACCAAAAGCAAGTTCAACGTTAGCTGAAGAACCGAAGGCCGGCGGTGGATGGAAGCTGAGAAAGCATGAAAGAGAAAAAGCAACTGTTGGAAAAGTTTAATAAACATATCTACAAGACATAAAGATAGTTGATAAGTATAAAGAATGATAATAGTGTATGAAGGAGAAAGACAAGTGCAAGTGAATATTCACATAATCATGCCTCATGTTGTCTGGAATATCAGAATCTTGAGGACTGACTTTACTTTGCGAGTTTGAATGAAGGGATTTACTGCAACGCGCACCAGAAGCAGAACAAACCTGCATAAAAGATATATTGCCAAGATCTAGTAAATCAATTGGCTAATGGAGGTACTAGCAAAGTTTCCATAGCCTGATAAAGAGGAAATTATTTTTCTAGTTACTAATGAAATTAGAACATAAAAATATCCTCAAATTGGAGAATGAAACGTCTAATTAACAATAAACATAATGAGCCATACACCCATCAAGCTGTCTGGTTCTCCCTCTCTCTCTTTTTTTTTTGGCCTCTTTTATCTCCCCTAGTTTATAGCAATAAAAACTTCCTTCATCCTTTGTTTGGATGCGAAGAAAGAAAATAAGAAAGGAGAGAAGATTGTAAATTAAATCAAGGAGAAATTTTAAAGAGGAGAAACAACCTTTTGTTTCTAGAGTTTTCTTTTTTGTCTACTTTTTCTTTTATCCAAGTATGAGAAAAAATAAATAAATAAATAAATAAAAATTTTCTTTCCTCCTTATTTTTTTATTCTGGCGCTCCAAACACAGTGTTAATATCATCAGGGTTTTATAACGAGTGTTATAGGAAAATCAATTATGTAAAGTTATAGAGATTCGTTTTGCGTGTCCGTAATTTTTTATTTTTTTTTTTTTTCAAAAAATGTGGACCCCACAAAATGTTATGTGTGTAAAAAATTTGTTATGTCATGTTAAATAAAAAATGCAAATCCAGTATTATTATTAGGCAGTTTAAGTTCAGAGTATCTTCGCCAACCAAGTTGCCAATAGACATCATCTAGTTTCTGGCCCAATAAAGTGCATAGTGGAAAATTGAATGGGGAAGGAGAAAGGAAAGCATATTAGAGTTCGAAAGTTTATCTGCTATTGATTATCTTATTATGCACCACCTGCACAAGACGGACTTCAACTGCAGGTCCGGTTCCAGTTGCAGTGGCTCGTGCTATGTGCAGTAGCCTTTTATGCACAAGAACATCTTGGGCCCTCTCTACATTCATATCCAACGCATACCTAACGTATACATATACAACTTGGTGAAAAATAAGGTACAACAATGAACAGTAAAAAATAAAAAGGAGTAAATATCCTTGTATGATTGAATTTCGGAAACAGAGGCAGGCTAAAGCCAAAAAACAAATATATTTTAGGCATTTAACTTGTGTCCATTTCCATCTGCCCAAGCAAAACAAAAGGGCATGAAAAGCATAATTAAAAGGAAAGTTCATATAACAGTTCGAAAATAATCAAACAGCAAAAATAAAAAAATTTGAGTTTGTGGCAGAGTGGTTTAACTAAAAAGTAAAAACTAGAAACAACACCACCCCAACAAGAAGCAACCAACTCTTTCTTCTTCTTTATTTCTGTTTTCTTGAGACAAAAAGATACTGCAAGATTGAAAAGTAAAAAAAAAAACTTCAGGATTCAGTGTACCTAGTGGGAAGGCGATAGAAGTGCGCCCAAAGCTCATCCTCAAAACCAGGAATCACTGCCTCTGGGACATTCAATTCCCTAAGTCGACAAAGAACCTGGTTGTAAATTTCAACCTTCTGCATCTGCTTTCTATTTTGATTCCAACCAGAATCGAAAACTCTACTACTGCAACTCTCTGTGTCTCCCATGTATGTATTTATATATAGATTTCGAGTCACCAACCCCAAACGAAAATCCAATAGCAGTTATTCAAAATTCGAAAATAAGAAACGAACGGGTCCCCAACACAGGCATAGCTCAGGTTCGAGTTCAATACAAATAGTCACATGATATGAACGACCAATCTGTGAAGAACATCAAAAGCTCTCTGCATGAAATAAAAATGGCATTCTACTACACCCCACCCAGTCTCTCTGTCCTTCTTCCGACAACACAGTCATGATTCATGTCGCGAAATGGGGAGTGAGTTTAAAATGACGTTGAGAAATAATAGGGAAATAAAAAAAAATAATGTCGCAGGAATGACATTGTTGATTCCTGCAACAAGGATCCGCTTCCGTATCTTAAGGATACGACATTGTATCTTGATTTAATTTGACTCTTTATTTTAAGTGTGGGACCCACACTTGATTTGTGTGAGCAGAAAAATACTCAAATCATGTCACATGACAAAAAAGAATCCTAAATAATAAGGGAGGGAGCGCAATGCGCACCCCTAACTAACCCATATCGGCGTGGATTGTAAACAATACAAGGAGACTTAGCTTTGCTTGCATCACCGCTTCTTATCCAAGAATCAAACTAATTGAGTTTTAACGATAAACACGAGAAATCTTAATCCTTTTTATTATATAATCCTTTGATAGCATCACCCACCCACGGGCCACAAAGGCCAAAGCACTAGCATCCCTTGTTTCTCTCGCTTCCCCACATAACATCACAGTCAGATACAACTAAATAACTTTATTTTACTGTTATTTAAAATTTGGTGCAGCAATCATTCCTCGCTGGTTATTGAGGTGTCAGACGATAACTTATGGTCCTGAATTAATATATCCACTAACTTTTGAATATGAAAATTCGGATGCACTATTGGTTAACATAATTGCAGATTGATTCGTATTGGGTCAAATATAAGTTATTAGTTTCATTAAGTCGCACACGGGTCATGAAATATTGAAATAGCTATAGGTTCATTAAACTATATATTCTTTTATTTACTATATAACTAAAGTTTAAAAATATTAATTTTATTAGTTTATTTCATAAGGTGATATTAAGAATTAAAGTCAATTAACATTAAAAAAATTGTTTTGAGAAGTACAAATCCTAGTTAGTACGTTAAGATTTTAGACACAGGTTGAAATCTATAAAAAAAATTGTAAAATCATTGGAAAAAATATTAAAAAATAAAAATTTAAGCAAAGTCTTGAGTTCAAGTATTTGTAAATATAAAAATTTCACTTTGGAAGAGCTAGCCCCATCATAACGTAAATATTTTTGACTTGAACATGATTTTCTTTTGTGGAGAATATATGTGATATATCCAAAAAAGTAAAAATAAAAACTTAACTATTACAGTGACTAATTCCAATATTTTTTTTATCAAAAAAAAAAATCCAATGTTTTACCCTTGCAAGTTAATCTAGTTTATTATGAGGCAGCGCACATTGGACTTGACCAAATTAGTTGAGTTAATTAGGGTAATTTATTTTAACTTCAATTTTATTAATTTAACATTTTGTTAGAGTTTTTTTTTATTAAATGAAAGTTTATATTAGAGGAGGCATGTCCATGTAATATTGGAAAAGACCATTAACTCCACAAAGTAAGATTACATATTACATTATTGGAAAAGTTATATTTATAAAAAAAAATTATAAATTCATACAAATTACATTATATATTAAAGGTTGTACATTTCAGTACACAGTGTATTATCCCTAGTACATAATATAATTTAAAAAAAAAATTTGTTAATATAACCCTCCCTTATATTATTACGTACAAAATAAAATAAAATTGAGAATTCAACCAAACGACGGACTACGGTTAACAAGGGTGGAAGATTCCATCAATTATACCAACCCTAATTGACATTGAGTTGTTGAAGTTAACTCAGTGTATTCTAATACGTTTTAGATTAACCATGAAGTTTCGTTATTTTTTTTCTTGTTTACTTTATGGTAATTCTCTTTTTTTTTTTCACTTTGCCTCACCTATCCTCGATGGTTGCCGTCGCATTAGTTCATTTGACGATATGTTTTGAGATAATTAGTAAAAATGAGTTGTATTTAAGTACTGAAAAAATATATAAAGATTCAAAAAAATAAAAAAAAAAAAAAAGAATCCAACTATAAAGTATAAGTGACCGTCATATTTTAAATTTTAAAGTATCCTTGCATCATATATAGGAGTGCAATGATTTATAATTAAAAAACCTTATGCTATACGTGACGCTGCTGTACTTGCACATAGATAAATGATACTCCCATGACTATTTTAGTATTTTGCCACCAATCAATCGAGTCATTGATTTGATGAGGGCTCACCTATTTAACATTTTTCTTAGTGCATTCCACCTAAGTCAAATATAATAGGACACATCATTACAGTTTAACTAAATATAAATTATGAATTTCGAGGAATCTTAATTTAAGTGGCATTAGTTTTATTTAAGACTTTTTTTTTTTCTTCGCACTCTAATTTAGCATTCTCTAGCTTCTTACATCATGTCTTATAACTCCTTTATAAAAAAAAATAAAAAAAAAATAAAAAATATTATATAACCTGTGTTGAGGAAGGTCTATATTTATAGATATAATTTCCTTCTACATCATGAATCATATTAATTCCTAACAATATTTTCTTAAAATACAAAATATTAATCATATTTACTTTATTGTCACACTCAAAGTGAAAAGTGACTCTCTTTTTTCTTCCTTTTTTTAATTTTATAAAAGAAGCCGATGGATCTTACATTACAGGAAGGTCGTTGGTATAGGATATGAAGATTCGCATGGATAGCGGTCCTGATAAGTAATGTAGAACTCTGCACAAGAGGGTAATAGTGGCGTGGCGAGTGCAGGTTAATCTCATTGTGTGTATTTTGAGCTGGTAAATTTGTTGTTTTGTGTGGTCGGTGATTATGAGATTATGAGCTTGATTTTTATTGTACTACTTTTTATACAATATTATTGCTTCAAGTCTAACAAGTTCTTACATAATGAGGTATATTAAAAAGTAATATAAAAATCATTGATAAATCTTCACATCTCAACTTAAATTTTTGAGTTGAATTAATTTCGATAGACTGCTCTTTAAACATAAATTGCAGGTAATACAGTTCAAGATCTAATGACATGCATTCATTATACTATATAATTTAAAGGAAAAAGTATGTGTCATTTTAAATGATGTAAAGTTGTGTCATTTTAAATGATGTAAAGTTGTATCATTTTAAGTGAAAGAAATAGATAAATCTTAGGAAAGAGAATCGACCAAAAAAAAAGATGTGGGTCTCACCACTTTGTGAGACTAGTGAAATGACACAAGTTATGTCATTTAAAAAGACAAATATTTTTTCCAATTTTAAAATATTTTATGCACCAAAAATAATTTTAAATAGGGAGATTCTTTGAGTATTTGAGTTTTTTTTTTAAAAGAACTCAATTATACGGGATTATTGTCCCTGTGCATACAACAACAACACAGTATATGCACCACTAATTTACATATAAAATTAATCGAGGTTTTTCTAACAGGGGTTGAACATAGACAAGACACATTATATTTCGAATCCAAGTATATGCCTTCAGCCATGATCGTCACAAATAAGGGTGGATATGGCTCGATCCGAATTACTTTTTTCCCGAACTGAACCGAGTAAATTTAAATGAATTCAGTTTCGAATCGAATCATTTTTATTTTTTCCAATTCGATTTGGAATCAGTTCAAAACCGAGTCGAAATTGGTTCGGAATGAGTTCGTAATCGATTTGTGTATGTAAACTCATTCTAAATGGGCTTCGAACCGGTTCTAAATAGTTTTCTAAATCAATTCTTTTGATTCTTTTTAATTTTTAGACTGGTCTATAAAATCAATTCGGTTCTCAAAATCGATTCAAAATAATATTGTTTGATTCAGTTACTTTGCACAATCTTAGTCACAAACCAAATGTAAAGAGACAATGCAAATTCATGCATATATGTAAAATAAAGTTTTACTTCGTTTACAATATAGGAAAAAAAAAATAGGAGAGGATTTTGTAAGGTAATTAATTTGATACAATGTACAAAAAATGGGGGAAAAATAACTTAAAAAAATGAAAAAACATGATAATTGAAATATGATAAAAAAATATATTAAAGCTTAAAAAAAAATATGATATAAGATAATTAAAATTGCTGAACATAAACTTATATAAAAAAAGGTTTCTACTTTTTTTGAACAAATTTGAACCCTTTAATATTTTTTGTTTTGTTTTTTTTGATAAATAAAAAAAGATAATCCATGAACAGACTCGTTTAACCCGCGAGTTGACTTGATTTTTTTCAAGCTGGTTTGAATTGTCAACTTATTTTTTACAATCCAACCCGACTTAGTTTTTGCGAGTTACAAGGTTTTGCCATCCCTAGAGTCAGGTTAGAGTTAGTAAAGCAAGTTGAACTCAACAAATCAACCTATCAATCTGCGATCGCGTTGGGTTGTTTATTTTAGGAAAATAATGATCACATGTTGCATTAGATAATTATTTCATGAACAGAGACAAAGTAGTATGATCCATTATTTTTTGTATTTTTATTTTATTTTTTAAATAGTGGATCCCACTGTATTATCTTTGTTGTATGATATAATTATCTCATACAACATGAAATAAATAGATCCCTTTATTTTAACCTATCAACCTAATATACGGCCACTTCATATATATACGCGGATTAAAGTGAATTAGGGATGTTGAGGGTCAACCAATTTGTCATTTTCATATATATCTTACGGTTTCTTCACAACATATTCATGACTTTAGTGCGATATATATTATATATGACATATTTGACTTATATTTGAATATGCTATAGCTTTGTTGCAAAATTACAACATTTATGACCGTCTCCAATGATCAGTTCACTTCCATTATTGTTGAAGATCGAACTAAACAAAACAAAAAGTTGACATTTTCATACAA